CACAATTCCCATTCCCGTCCCAAGCACAGTTACCATTCATAATCCAAGCACAATTCCCGTTCCCACCCCAAGCACAATTCCCATTCCTATTCCCGTCCCAAGCACAGTTACCATTCATAATCCAAGCACAATTCCCGTTCCCGTTCCCATTCCAAGTACAATATTGGATGGCGTGGGCGTGGCGCGAAATGACGACAGTTGATTCGTCGAGTGAAAGGCTGTCAAAGGCGAGTGCGGCAGATTTCCTTTTATTTCCTTTGGTGGTAATGAAGGCAGAGGCCGCTGAGTGATTGCGGGAGTGATAATGATGGTGTTGATGAGTTTTGTTTGTTTTTGTTTGTTTATTTTTTTATTTATTTACTTTTATGTTTTGTATCGTCTTCGTTGTTGTATTTTTAAGGGTGGTTCTTGTGTCCTCCCTTTCCCCATTCTCTCCTGTCTCTTTACCTTTCTCTGTCTGTCTCTGGTTTTCTCCTGTGTATCCTTTTCCTTTTCTTCTTCCTTCTCCTCCTTTTCTTCTTCTTCCTCCTCCTCCTCCTCCTCCTCCTCCTCCTCCTCTTCCTCCTCCTCCACCACTTCCACCACCACCTACAACAACAACTCATTTTTCCCTCCTCCTCTTCCTCCTCCTCCTCCTTGTCTTTGCACGTCTTTTATCTTCCTATTCCCCTCCCCCATCTTCACCCTCACCTGCGCCCCCCCCTGTTATAGTTCACATGGAAGGCATTTTTCCTAGATTTTATGATCCGCACTCGGAGAACATGTGCTTCGCTTTTTCGTTTTTCGTTTTCCTCAACGCTCGTTTTATCTATATTTGGGTTTTAATTATGTTTTTATTTGTTTTTTATTATTTTTGTTTTTTAGGATTCAGTTTTTGTTTATTTAGTTTTGATCATTCTATTTTTTCAGGTTTGATTATTGTTGATGTTGTTGTTGTTATAATTAACATTATTATCATTATTATTATCATTATTATTATTATTATCATTATTATTATTATTATCATCATCATCATTATCATTATCATTAACATCATTTTATCATTATTATTGTTAATATTATTATTATTATTATTATTATTATTATTATTATTATTGTTATTATTATTTTAGTTTTGCTATGTTTACCAATTTCTGAAATACTTTCTTGGGTATTAAATAGATGAGTCATGGTAAGACAGATAGGAAGACACAAGAATAAGATATAATGATAAGTAATTGGATGGTAGAATAGAAAAAAAGTAATGGGGGGGGGGATATTGACTAATGGATAGGGAACGTTGTGAAACGAAAGTAGGGTGCCGGTTGGTGTTTTATGGGTTCATTTTTTCTCTATAACCGGGTTTAAGGGGAAAAAGAAATTTTGTATTTATGTACTTTTATGTATTGTCCTTTCTTTCTATTTTGTGCTCTTTCGCTTCTCTCTCTCTCTCTCTCTCTCTCTCTCTCTCTCTCTCTCTCTCTATATATATATATATATATATATATATATATATATATATATATATATATAAATATATATATATATATAAATCTGTGTGTGTGTGTGTATAGATATATAGATAGATAGATAGATAGATAGATATAAGATAGATAGATAGATTTTTATATATTTATATATTTTCTCCCACACTCTCAGCCTATTTCAGATCCTCTCACTTCCCTGAAATAAGGATTTTCAAGCATAGGATCTCTCTGTCTCTCACCCTCATCCCCTCTCCTCTTTCCTCCCTTCCCCCTCGCTCTCTGTTTATTCCTTTTATACTATTTCTTTTCCTCTTTTCTTTTTCTTTCTTTTCTGCCGTTCCTTTTCTTTGTGGAAGGATTGATTAGTTCGGCCAACAGGTGTTTCAGGATACGTGTTCCTGCAGGAGAGGAGGTCGTGCAGGAAAGGGGAGGGAGTTCCCGGGCGCGGCTTCGGGTTTCTTCGTGTGGTTTTTAGCTGTTTTTTTTTTCGTTTTTTTTTTCGTATTCTTTTCGTGGTTTGTTCTCTTTCTTTTTATCGTATTCTTTTCGTTTTTTGTTCTTTTTTTCGTATTCTTTTTTTTTCGTATTGTTTTCGTTTCTTGTTCTCTCCTTTTTCTTTTTTTCTCTCTTTTTTTTGTTCTCTCATTCTTCTTTCTTTTTTCGTTTGTTTTTATTTTTATTTTCATTTGTATTTTCTCTTTTCCTTTTCTTTTCCTTTTTTTTTCGTTTTCCCACTTTCTCCTTATCTTCTTTTTTTTTCCTTTTTTTAATTTTTATTTTCTTTTATCTTTCTGCGTTTTGTATTCGAAGTTTGCGTGAGATTTCGTTCTGATGATGGGAGGGGAAAGGGGAAGGGTGGGAGAAGGAGAAGACGATAAAGGAGGAGGATGGGAAGGAGGATGAGAAGGAGAAGACGATAAAGGAGGAGGATGGGAAGGAGGATGAGTAGGAGAAGAAGAAGGAAGAAGAGAAGGAGAAGACGAAGAAGGAGGAGGAGGAGAGCGGTCAGATGAGTGAGGGGCGAAAGGAGGAGA